CCTGTATCTGAAGTGTAAATCATGTAATTTTATGGCTCAATACTGTATGTTACCATAGACATTGTCCAACCCCACTCATACCGTGTTCATTTTACTTGTGCAGCTCTTAAAATGGGTCATAAGTTGCCTTAAAAAACGTTTTTTTTTTATTCTGCAGATACCCTGTAAATAGTGAAATAAAATTCCTTCCTTCATATTTGTTGATATTTGTGTATTGAAAATATTTTTGATTGACATTTAAACTCCTATCTGATTTTCTATATTTAAAAAAAAAAGGTATTTATTTATTTGGGCTAGTTAAATAAATTTTCGGGCTACTAAAATCTGAAGAGTATCTGCCCGAAGGGCTAGGGATTTTGAAATTTTGCGAGCCCTGAGCTTGCACGTTCACTTTTTCCATATTACTTTGTGCCACTTTTTATTACAAAATATAATTTCCCATAATCATCGCACTATAATTGCTATGGTCTAATGACATTACTCCATTCCAGGAGTGAACACAAAGCACTCACTGTCTATGGTAAAACAACACAGTGTATGAGAGGAAGGGAGGCACACGGTGAGAAAAAAGCAGGTGGATGAGTGATACAAAATGAAATGGTGTGCATTCCTTCAAAAGAAAGAGTCAGTAGCTTTAGTCTGGACAAGATTGTACTTGCATCTCTGTATGAAATTCAGAGAGAGAGAGAGACGAGCAATGTCAGAACAGGAAGAGGAAGTGGTAAGGCACCCCCATTGCTTCCGTTATTATCCACCCCAATTTCAAATCTGGGAGCAAAGCCTCTTAACAATTTCACACTAACGAGGTTGCATGACATACAGGTGCTACGGTAGTATCACAGTGCCCAAGCCTCAAAATACCGGCAGTGCCACGGTACATTACTAAAGTAACGTGATGCATGTACTGAATGAGAATATACTATCATGCATCAGATGCAGTACTTAATGGCATGTGAGTCCAGTGTTTCATGCGCTATTCACACAAGATGCAAGATGGAGTGCAACAGAGTGGAAGAAAATGAGAGAATTTGACAGACATCTAGTGGCCAGACATCTGTACATAAGCCAACAATAAAAAAAAAAATAGAGAGACATAACAATGTGAAAGCGAACCAACCGAGCACTACCAGTGATGAGTTTGGTGAATTTTTGAGAAGTCTGGGTTAATAATTATTACAGCAGAACAGCCTCCGCAATAACTGCAGAATAAAAATGATCATGTGACACTAAAGACTGGAGTAATTGGCAGAAATTCAGCTTTGCCATCACAGGAATAGATTTTAAAAAATAGAAAACAGAAAATTATAACATTATTTCACAATGCTACCGTCTTTATTTTTCATTAAACATATGCAGCCTTGGTGAAAATAAGAGTCTTCTTTCAAACGCATTTAAAAATCTTACCAACCCCAAATTTTGAATGGCAGTGTATTCTATTATGATTGCGCAAATGGAAAGAGGATAATTGAACAGATTCAAGATTAATATGCTTGCTTTGAGATTTTTTCTACAAACAAGCTTGAATCATACAGATCATGTACATGGCCAATCCAACTGGCTTCGTGACAGGCTAATCGTTCCAGCTTTTCCACTGAACTACAGTAATCAGGAATCTCTTTGTAATGGTTGTACCATCTAAAGCCATAAATGCCTGAAGCTCTTCATTGTTGACCTAAACCTGTTTGCATCTCAGTGACTTTGTGTCTTCTTCCTGTTTTTCCATTATGATCTACAATTACGTAAAATTGGACAAAAAGATACAAGTATAATAATGCTTGTGGCCATTCCATGTGTCAGTCCTACATAACAGAATAATCTGAACTGTAATGACCTCTTAAAGGATTATACATTTTGACAGTGGTGCGTTTTAATCCAAATAAACTCAATAATGTGAATAATTTTTCAAAATGAAAGGAAACAAGAAATAAGAATGTTTAAATACAACAAACACTAAGATGAAAACAGAGTACCATCAGCTTACAGAGGAATACAGGCAGGTTAACTGATGACTGCAATTTCTCTTCAAATGCATCCAATAAATATGAACAAGGCTCACTCCATGAAGGTTAAACTAATCTAATCCCAGTTCACTCTAGCTGTCAGACAGTCGTAGCAAAGAACTACATCAAGACTAACAATGCTTCTTAAGTGCTCCTTGCCCAAAAATGTAATGGACTACGGTGGTTTTCTACACAAAGAATTACCTGGAAGCCAAACATAAAATGTAAACAATGGCCTACATCAATTTACCTTGACATTCGCTTATATAACTACTACAAAAACAAACTAAGCCTGAAGTTAAAGCTACTTTATGTATGGACAAACACAAGGCTACAATTTGTACTCAGTTTATTAAAGCATATCAATACAATTCATAATAAACCCTATTTTTAGGGTTGCCAGGGTTTATCATAAATGTATCAAGCATTACACAGCAGTAGAGGTCGACCGATGTATCGGTTTTGTCGATTAATCGGCACTGATAGATGACTGCTGGAACTATCAGCAAAAATCTATGCCGATAGTTTTTCCAGGTTGCGTCCATTGCTGGAGCGGCTGAGAAGGTCTGCTGTCATTATACAGTACAAGAGCGGCTTCTAGAGGTGGAATCACTGACGCCTCTAGCTGTTTGTTTTGACACGTGACACTGCGTTCTGCACAGAGCGGACACTTCAGATGCGGATTTAAAACATCGACAACTAAACAGTGTGTACACATTATACTGTAGTGCATGTTTTCATATCATTACTAAGTAATTAATTTGTTGACTAGATGCTGCATTAGTGGAGAAAATGACAGCAGTATGTTTGCTATCAAGGCTGAAAAGATGCAAACATTAGCAGCACCTCAAGCGGTTAAAACAATGTGACCAAAACACACGCAAATCCGACCCAACTGTTTAATGTCACGATTGTTACCATCTATTTGCGTCAGTTTATATCCAGCTGGTCACATGAATGCATTTGTTTAGCCATTTAAAGCCGTGACGCGAAAAAGCACATTGATAAAAATATAGCTGAAAGAAATCCTGCCGCGTCACAAAGCGCCACTCACACAGTTTTCCATTAAATGACATTATATTTGTCCCAAATATGTACATAATGACTTCACCCTAAGCTGTAACGTTGTGTATTTTTCAGTGAAACGTTTGTCTTTCAGTTGCTCCAATAAAGTCTGTATGCTTCACATAGAGAGCTGTAATATATAGATTGCGGTTCTTCTTTCCGTTTTGCTCTGTTTTTTTTTAAACACCAAACTTCTAACTCATCTATGCCATTTTTTTTTTATCATTCTTGAAGTGAACTTTTGCCCATTTGGTGATGAAATAAACTGTTTTAGACTGCCGTTTGAACTGAACGCGACACGTCCGGTGTGTGTGTGACCCAATACCTGCGAGTTGTTCACTTTTTGTCCAGTGTGCGACTACCATATTTTGTTATTTTGATTAGATAATCATCAAGTGTTCTAGAATAGAAGCAATTAAACTGTGAGAGTATAAATACAATATCAATATGTTTGTAATTTCAATGCTTTGGCCTTTGTGTAGATATTTAAAGATGGCCATCTAGTTAGAGTGCATTAATTTCAACATCTACTAATATATTTTTACATTTTTGAAGTTGCTGAACTATGAACTAATGAACTATGAACTAACTTTAATGATCAATATTTAAGTAATATTTAATATTAATATTTTTATTCATGTACAAAGTATGGTTCAGTACTGTTTTTTTTATAGTAAAGCACTATTTTATTTTTCATTCAGTATCCATTTTAAAAACTATCGGTTGATTAATCGGTATTGACCAGTGTGGTCCAACCTAGCTATCAGTATCAGTAAAATCTACTATTGGTCCACCTACACAGCAGGCACTTTAAGGGTTAAATTTGATTGGCTGAGTGGTGTTTCAAAGTGCAGTTATTTAAAACAGCAGCACACGGACACAGACCCCAGTATGTGAGTGGTGTAAAGTTGGAACAAAGCAAGGAGTATGTTTTCTGATAGTGTTTTTTCTTTTACGCATAGAAGCAGAGCAGTGTGAGTTTGCTTGTGGCAGTTAGCAGGTTTTTAAAGGTCATAGCACCTGTGCATTCTCTTCACTTGGGTTTCTCTCAGTGAGTGCGAAATGCAAAACACATGGAATTAAAGCCCAGTGATTACAGAAGGCTTGGAACAAGAAGGGGAAATACGCTCCTTTCAGAAATACTGATCCAGATTCCAGACCAAGCTTTCTTTTTGTTTGATGCTTAGAAACAATTAAGAGCTGTTGCTCTGGTTTCTTTTGGAACTGTTTTAGTTTTTAGTACAAGAAATATAAGAACGGCCTAATTTTACCTGAAAAGAACGTACTATATACTAGTCTACCTGTGTACTAACTGTTTATAAAAGCAATATCATAAATCACAATAGGGCGGAATTTCAGCCGTGCTAATATGCAGTACAACACAGCTTTCTCTATATTGCTTAAATATTTATAGAATTCATGAACAAAAAAATTCTGTTAGCTGAAAGGCTTTACATTTACAACTGATATAGCTCATTATAAATCTATGAAATTATTTACAGTATAGAGCTAACTTCCTGTCATTGCTTATCAAGGCTTAAAAATCAATAACAACGCAAACGGTGGTGATGTTGACATTGCTTTTGCAGGTGTAGCCCTTATATCTTGTCGATTCAATTCAACCAAAACTGTTTAGCTGTGACAGGTGCTCATTCAAAACATCTCGCGAAGAAGCTGCAAATAAAATCTTCGGTCTCTGTTGAAAAACGACGGAAATAACAGGAATGCTGGCAAAGCTTACATTGTAGCCAAACAACATTCCTCTCGCTGAGCAAAGACAAACTGGCAGGATTGAATCGCTCGCCGATCATGCTAATCAAGCATGCGAATATGCTCCCTCTGATGACAAATCACATCATCGCGCACCAAAAGACAATTAAATGCCTCAAAATCATATCAGATCCCTTAATCTATATGTTTAAGCTTAAACCTTACCTCTCCTAAAAGGTGAGACGAAGTGACAAGCGCCTCTGAAGGCTTCCTGTTCTAAAGTTGATGTATGTCGTTGGGAAAAAACATTGTACGCGGAAGTGGAGAGTGAGACCGATTCAACCGCGCGACGTTTGACAGCAGATACAAAAGCAGGACTAAATCATTCCTCTTTATGTGCGGATGATCATTAAATATGTTCAGTGATCCCCGAGTGCACTCGACTGAAAGCGTTTTTTTATTTATTTTTTATTTTTTTGGAAACGTAACTTTTGCCGTCCACTGCCTCTTCCTGTGACTTGCGACCACCAGAGGCCGAAAGATGTCGAAAAATCGTTTCATGTATCCCCGTATGGTTCCGTGTAGTGTTACACTAAATTTGTTCCCCTTCATTTGAATGGCTCTCAGAGCTTTTCAATGCGTGTTCAGGGACACTATGGCCCCCCGTGGCATTACATGTATTCACGATTTATGAATGTGCCCGTGCCAAGTCTGTGTTTGGAGGTAGAAATGTACCGTGAAACTCCACCATCCTAGCTTGCATTTTTCTGTATTTTTTTTTTAATACACTGCACTCATGTTTGTATGCGCAGGAAATATGATTATCTATCTATGAAGCAGGGGCGTAGCCATCATTTCAGAAGTGAGGGGGACAGAAATGTTATATATATATATATATATATATATACAGTATGTGCAGTATATATAACATTTTTAATGTTTTATAAATTAGTCTCTTCTGCTCACCAAGCCTGCATTTATTTGATCCAAAGTACAGCAAAAGCAGTAATGTTGTGAAATATTTTTACTATTTAAAAATAAAACATCAGATCATGCATAGACTATCCTGTCTCTTTTAATTTAAATCTATATTTATTCACAGTGGCTCTTGAAAACCTCTATGCGAACACACTTGCCCGAAAAAGTGCGGGGGACGAATTTACGTGATATTAAAAGTGGAACGTAATCTACGCCCCTGCTATGAAGGTCTTTCTTGCACTTCCATTTTTCTAGATAATCTCTGAAATTCAGTGAATGTGGTACTTGACAGGATGTAGGCCACCTCATGATGCTTTTTACACAGACAGAAACAAGTACAAGTATTTTTTTAATGGAATGCATTTGATCTGAAATCATATATTGAACTTCAGAGAAAAATCCATGCTATCACAATTGAATTTCAAGAATATTGTTTATTGCTCTTGAAGATATTACTCTTTGCTCATTTTTGTTCTAGTAATCCTTTCCGTTTTAAATTTCACAATTAAACAAAGAAAATCTTTACTGTAAGGTAAATGGTATTTTTTTTTCTTTTCAATGTGTACAAACAACTACACAAAGTCCTATGTACAGCTGAAATCTCCTCTAGTACGGGCAAGTCAATGGCACCAACTGTCGTGTAACAAGTTCTTTCAAGTTCTTATCTAGAATGAGATAATAACTTACCAAAGAATCAGAAGAATATCTGGAAATATTGTTGCCATAGTTTGATAAAATCTTACTTGCATTTTGCTTTTGTATAAAATGTTATCTTTACCCCCCTCCCCCAACTTGTCTGAATTGTATTTGAAGGTAATCTAATCAGAGTGTGTCATTCTGCTCCTATGTATTGTTTTTACATTCAAATCGGATGTTCATATATCAAATGTAATAAACATTAGAATGAACATTGGTTAAAGAAATTAGCAGATGCTGCAACTAATATTATTCACATTTGATTAATTACAGTACATCACCACTGGGTGAATGAATTATTGAAATTTGAGACTAGTGGCATAACTCAGTCCATTAGGATCATCTACTTGGAGGTATCTGGGGAAAATTTCCACAGGGCACGATTAGAAAGAGCAGATTTTTGTTTTTTTTTGCACACTTCCCTGTCTAAACTGCATTCTTATGAGCATGTGAAAAACAAGTGCTCTTTCTCTGTCAACTTTGGGTCACTACACATATATACTTAACCATTTTCCTGTCTCATATATCACTCTTCAGTTAGTTACAGAGTAAAATGACACCAATACAACTATCCCATATAGTAATAGTAATTAAACAATGTACACAACAATAAAATATATACAATGAAATAGATACAAACTTTAAATATTCACTGGCATGAGTAGTATTGATTCTGACACTCATTCTCAGGGTCATAACATTTTTTGAACATTTTTAAAAAGACATGGACCGGACATGAAAATTGAAAGTGAACATAAATAAATAAATAAATAAATTTCCCTTCAGAAACTATGAAAGGCTTAGATAAATATAACCACAAGATGGCAATGTTTGACCATATATATGTCTGAATCCCTTGGCATCAGCACATAAATAAAAACAAAAGTGCTTTATTGCAACACAACTGTATCGCCTTAAAATTACTATGAGTGTTGCCATTATTGCATTTTGCTTGTGTTACACTCTTCAGCTGAACACTGTATTGCAGAGCTTAGCATTAACTTATGGAAAAATCTGAAATTCACCAAACAGAACAAATTTACTGCCTGTTTCAGCAGGGCCAGAATGCAGTGCAATCTAAAAAGTGTGTGATAAAAGATATGCATATTCCGTAACTGTGCTGTATTGGCTATAAAATGTCTCATTGTTACGGTTTCCTACCAGAAATGAGAGAAAGAAAATTCGTATAGACATTTAAACATTCTAATCCGAAAAGCTGTTGTTGTTTTTTGTTGTTTTTTTTGTGCTGCACTTTTACTCTCAGAATGACAAAAACTGCATCGAGAGTCTCACTGTGCGAATCAGAAATTGAAGAAAGCAGAAATTGAAAGTTCTATTATTGGAACTGAATGAGCAAAGAATGGCTTCGGAGGACTCCAGAAAAGAAGAAGAAAAAAAATGAAATGGGAATATACAGCATTATTTCACAAATGCAGGAATGCACAGACAGAAAAAGAGAAAGAGAGAACCTGCAAGACATCAAAAATCACACAACAGAACAAATTAACTGTTGGCAAGTTTAAGTGTCTCTGTTTCCTTGTGCCGGTCGATCATAGTGAGGGAAGGAGAGAGGGATGGAGGTAGGGATGATGGTGGAGGAGTCAGGGGTCCTAGTCTTTTGAGGGGATGCGGAGACACAGGTGGAGGAAGAGAAGAGAGAGGGGGCAAAGCTCCCCCGAGTCCCCCAGTTTTGGCCTCTAGAAGGTGTGAGCGACCACCCAACCCTGGCTCCTTCCCCAGAGAGAAGTCCGGCTCGTTCTCATTCTCCGAGCTGCAGTCGCTCAGGTCTGTGATCTCCAGCTCAGAGTCAGACTCCAGATCCTGCTTCATACCCTTTCTCCGCTCAGAAGGGCTTTGACGGCCTCCTCCTCCACTTCCCACTCCAACTCCACCCAAACCCAATCCTAGGCCTAACCCCAAACCAAGACCTCCACCTGTTATGCCAATGTTGGTCTCCCCTCTTTCCCGGTCGCCCACACCTGTACCCCCGTTCCCCGGCTCAGTCCGACCCAGTGGCAAGTTCCCTGGGTACAGTGGGATGCAGAGTCTGGGAGGCTGACCGCCCGCAGAGCCATTTGTTCCTCCCGTTTGACCACGTTCTGCACTGGTCGTGTCTCCGGGGGATAAGAGCGAAGCGAAGGGGTGTGACAGCTGAGACAGGCTGGATTGGAGCGGGTTGGGATAGAAATGTGAGGAGTAGAGGGAGCCTGGGGCCAATTTGGGACAGTTGTTCAGAGAAAAGGCCCCTGGGAGGTAGGGGTTGAAGCCCCAGGGGTAGTCAAAAGAGGGGTTCCGTGGGTAAGGACCCAAAAGGGATGGAGGTTTGGAGTAACAAGGAGCCCCTGTGGGAAAAATTGGAAAAAAAAAAATGGAACGGAAACCAGTGTTAATTTTTAAGATCAGATGTTAGGGACATGACTGAGAACAGAGAATGTGAGGCAACTCTTTCTCAGAGAGAAAACTAAAAGGTTGTTATTGTTATGAATCATATATTCCAAAAACGTAAGAAAAATTATATAAAAAATATAATATATAATAGTTTTATTTACATGTGAGAATATTATGATCATTTATTAATTGAATTGCTGAATTGTCCGCAGCCATTACTCCAGTCATCAGTGCCACATGAACCTTCATAAATCATTCTAATATGCTGATTTGGTCCAAAAACATTTCTTGTTATTATCAACATTAAAACAGTTTAATATTTAAAGTGTCTAATTATTAGTAATTAATTTATTAATTTAAATAATTAATTTTCTGTTTTCTACATTATTAATATAATACTATAAGATGTACGATAAAATAGAATGGAAATAGAAATAAGAAATCAGCCAGCTTATTTTTTACACAAATGAATTAATAAATTATCCTAATATTCTCAAATGTACCTATGGGAGTTGATATTCCTTATTTCACACTCATAATACTTTACATGGTTTTCACAATGTTTTTGCTTCCATTACAAACACCTTTTCTTTATATGGTCCCCTTTATCTCTTCCTCTGTCTCCTTCTTTCTTCATTCCTGCCTACATCACTTTCTCTACTTTTCTCTCCCTCTCTTTTTCTCTCCTCAGCCTCTCTCGGTGTTATCTGTGTTGCTATGCAGGGCTAATTTGCCAGTGCTAGAGTGTGTGTGTATGTAGGGCCAGAAGTAGCTGGCAGACACATGAATATTGAATCAGTCAGGCAGGCTTCACTTGCTTATGAAAACACAGTAATGGGCGCCCACAGGCCACAAACTGAAGCCTGCACCCTCAATTAGGGCCTTCCTGCTTGGGAAGGGATTAGGACAGGGGGTACACATGGGAGGCAGAGAGGGGTAAGAAGAGGAGGAGGGTGGAACAGGACCTCAGGACAAACAAAGTTGAAGGGGTGAGGGTGAGGGTGGGGGTGGGGAGTCGCATTGACATACTCAAGCCCTCATACATTCTGATACACTGGTATTTCAGTGTACATTCAGAGCATTTGAAAAGACAACGGGTGTACATGACACCGTACCACTCTCAGAGGAAGTGCTAGTGCACAAATGCAAGTGTAAAATGCAAATGGAAACTAACCTTGTCAAGAACGTAGCGATTTCAGGGATCTCAATGTAAAAAAATACTACTGATAACAGTGTGAACTAATCACTTACAGGTGCATCTCAATAAATTAGAATGTCGTGGAAAAGTTCATTTATTTCAGTAATTCAACTCAAATTGTGAAACTCGTGTATTAAATAAATTCAATGCACACAGACTGAAGTCACTTCACTGCTCTGAAAAACAAAGAACCTTTCCAAATTAACATTAATCCATAATTTTCTCTATTACATTTGTAAAATTTGTTGTTCCGTTTAATTTATGTCTCACCTGAG